AACAAGCAGCCAACCAATATTTCATTTAAACCTGTAAATAGGTGTGATGTGGTACTGATAAGAGTGTATATTCTGTGTATTTAAAGTGGAGAGTTCTATAAATGTTAATCAAGTTTACTTGTTCTGGATCTGAGTTCAAATCCCGGATATCGTTGTTAATTTTCTGTCTAATTGATCTGTCTAATATTGATGTTGAAGTCTCCCACTATTATTGTGTGGGAGTCTAAGTCTTGTTATAAGTCTTATATATCTGGGTATTCCTGTATTGGGTGCGTATATATTTAGGATCTTTAGCTCTTCTTGTTGCATTGATCCTTTTATCGTTATGTAATATCCTTCTTTGCTTCTTTTGATCTTTGTTGCTTTAAAGCAAATCCTGCTTTTTATTTATTTATTTATTTATTTTTGCTCTCCATTTAGTTGGTAAATCTTTCTCCATCCCTTTGTTTTGAGTCTTTGTGTATCCTTGCATGTGAGATGGGTCTGGATGCAGCATACCGATGGGTTTTGGCTTTTTTTACCTGTCTGTGTCTTTGGATTGGGGGATTTAGTCGATTTAAATTTAGAATGAATAATAATATATATGAGTTTAATACTGCCATTTAATGTTAGCTGGCTGTTTTGCCTATTAGTTGATGTAAATTCTTGATTATGTTGATGCTCTTTACTTTTTGGTATTTTTTAGGAAGGCTGATACTGGTTGTTCCTTTCTATGTGTAGTTCTTTCAGAAGCTCTTTGTAAAGCAGGCCTGGTGGTGATGAAATCTCTGAGTGTCTGCTTGTTCACAAAAGATTTTATTTTTCCTTTGCTTATGAAGCTTAGTTTGGCTGGATGTAAAATTCCGGGTTGAAAGTTCTTTTCTTTAAGGATGTTGAATATTGGCCCCCACTCTCTTCTAGCTTGTAGGGTTTCTGCTGAGAGATCTGCTGTGAGTCTGATAGGCTTCCCTTTATAGGTAACCTGACCTTTCTCTCTGGCTGCCCTCAGTATTTTCTCTTTCATTTCAACCCTAGTGAATCTGGCGATTATGTGCCTTGAGGTTGGTCTTCTTGAGGAATATTTTTGTGGTGTTCTCTGTATTTCCTGGAGTTGAATATTGTCCTGCCTTGCTAGGTTGGGAAAGTTTTCCTGAATAATATCCTGAAGCATATTTTCCAGCTTGGATTGATTCTCTTCGTCACATTCGGGTACACCTATCAAGCGTAGATTAGGTCTTTTCGCATAGTCCCATATTTCTTGGAGACTTTGCTCGTTCCTTTTTATGCTTTTTTCTCTAATCTTGTCATCTTGTTTTATTTCATTAAGTTCGTCTTTGACTTCTGATATCTTTTCTTCTGCTTGATCGATTTGGCTGTTAAAACTTGTGCATAGTTCGTGAAGTTCTCGTGTTGTGTTTTTCAGCTCCATTAATTCACTTATATTCCTCTCCAAATTGTGTATTCTTGTTAACATTTCATCAAACCTTTTTTCAAAGTTCTTAGTTTCTTTGCATTGAGTTAGAACAACTTCTTTTAATTCACAGAAGTTTCTTATCACCCACCTTTTGAAGCCTTCTTCTGTTAATGGAACACACTCGTTCTCCATCAGACCTTGTTCCATTGCTGATGAGGAACTATGATCCCCTGTAGAGGGAGAGGCATTCTGATTTTGGGTATTCTCAGCCTTTTTAGGCTGTTTTCTTCCCTTCGTTATAAATTTATCCATCTGTGGTCTTTATAATTACCGTCTTTATAATTGGGTTTCTGAGTGGATGTCCAACTTGTTGATTCCCAGCGCTAAAATCTGAGCAACCTACTGCGCCGGCCAAAACAGCAGCGTTAGGATTGATGGTGCTTTTCTGACTGCACCAAGAACCACCGCCCCAAGGCAGCGGCAAAACCGCCTCGCCGGCCACAAGAGTCGCGCTGGCGACCTGTGGGGCTCCTCCGCTGGGAATCTCCTGGTGCGTCAGCAACAAAAATTCATCTGAAAGTGTGGCATCCTCTCGTTCTCTACACTTTCACTGGGAGCTACAATCCCGAGCTGCTAGTGATCAGCCATCTTGGATCTCTCTCCCCAGGTTTTTAGTAATGATAAAATGAAAACACCAATGAAGAGCTTAGCATGAACCTGCTGCAGGGTAGGTGTGAGGAAGTGTTCACTATTAGCACTCATCCTCTTGTTCTTCACAGCAAGATGCTTTAGTACCATCCTTGGGAGTCTTAGAAAGCTCCCCAGGTACGAGGTGGGGATGACACTCCTTAAGTCTCAAGACTGTTCGGAGCCCTGCAGGATGACACCTGGCTGTGCACACGCTTTGTGCCCTGTGCAGCAGGAGACTGCCTGCAGCCCCTCTGGCCTGCGCCACATCAGTACTCCAGGCTGCCTTGGCCCAGCCATCCCTCAGAGTCTGGTGGGGCCTGGGATAAGCTCCACCCAGATGTGGACAGATGTGGTAACTGTGTCTATAAATCTTGGGCAAGGCATTTTGCAGACCACACTGCAGAATAGAATCTGTGCTGTGGAATGAAAACAGCCCCTAATATCTACCTCTTGCTGTTCCCTGCCACACTGAGGACCCAGGGAAATGAGGGCGGGTTACATCAAGCACACATACACAAACTCAGGGCTGACAGGTGTGCACACATTCCTGAGACACTGTGTCTAAGCCAGCCAGCGACAATCACATCCAGGGCAGACAGACATTAAGTGACACACACACACACACACACAGCCCTTCCACCTATCACAAAGTCTACACAAGCAAGGCCACACCCTCGCACCTTCACCTCGCCCCGCACTTCCCTTCCCCGCCCCCCGTAACCCCCACCCCCTATGCAGCCAGGCCCCTCCCCTGGGAACCAAAGTGAAAGGCGGCGGGTGTCGCGGTCAGGAGGTTCATTGGAAATTGAAGGGCGGCCCTGGGACAGGAGGGGGGTGAGGCAGAGGGAGGGAAGTGGCTCTCGTCCCCCGCCCTCCCTGGTCTACAGGCACAGCACACACCACTTACACACGCGCACCGTTCTCCTGCAAACCAGGAGCCACGCAGCAGGGAGAACCAGCGGCCCTGCCCGGCCCCGCATCCCGCGCCGCGCCCTCACTCCCACTCGCTGGACTCCTGCACCCCTCGCTCCGTCCGCGGCTCGCTCCCCGGGCACCCCAGCCCTGTCCCGGCGGTGTCCCTTGCACCGCCAACCCCTGCCACCAAGTGCCCAGTCTTCCACACAGCTCTCACCATCCTCGGAGGCACAGGTCTCCGGGACCCACCCTCACCCAGAACTCTCCCTTACAGGCTCACGCGGAGCCCCGCAGAGCCCCCAACACCCCCACAGAGTCCTCCAGTGCCCCCCACCAGCCCCTCACCTCACCACACGACTCCCCTGTCCCACACTTACGCAAAGCAGACCCCCACAAACCCTCCGCTAGGGGTGACAGCCGGAGCGCTCCGTCCCCGGCTTCCCCAACCCAACTCGGGCTACCCCACGCCCACTGGGCCGCGTCGCCTGAGGCCCGGGGGAGGGTTCGGCCCCGGAGGTCCCCGGACAGCAGGGTCTGTTAAAGGTGTGTGTGTGTAACATGCAGCAACACGCAGATGCCCAGAGCCTCCCAGCGCCCCCTTCCAACCCCCCAGCCTCCGGGCGAGTCCACTGTTCGCCCCCCGCCGAGTACCTTGTCCAGGCGTCCCGCGTGGGTCCTGGCGCCGCCGGTGCTCAGGGCCTCCAGGGCACCCGCAGGTGGGCCGGGCCTGCTGCGCTGCTGCCGAGCTCGGGATCCCGGTCCAGCTCCAGCCCGGGCCCCAGTCCCAGCAGCGGACGCGTGCTGAGCCGCCGCCACTTCCGCTGCGAGTCTTGTGCGCGCCCAGCTCCCGGCCCGGGTGATGTAAACTTGAGCTAATCAGCCGCCCGTCTGATGCCCTCAGGCCCGGGATTGCACCATCCCCCGCGCCCCGCCTCTCCAGGTCACCACCAGGGCGTGCTCCGCCCGGGCCTCTCCCGTTCGCCCCGGCCGCTGGACCCGGGGACCCCACCGTCGCCGGCCCACTAGGGGTGTCTGGTCTCAGTGCAGACACCGGACACGGACTCTCCCTATCACCTTGGGAAAAAAAAAAATTGCTTTTCTGAACCTCAGTTTCCCCAAGAATATTCTTCCTTCTCAGGATGGAGCTTCAGAAAAAGAGCAAACAGTGACTAATGTCCGGGTGCTTCCCCGTTTATAAAGCACGTTCCCACCACTGTCTTAGAAAACCTTTAGGAGAAGTGGACAGGCGGGAATCTCCATTCTCCAGGTTCTACTGCGAGCCAGCCTGAGGCCCAGCTATGGGCAAGTGGTCCAGAAACTTCGGGAAGGCTTAGGGACCTAAGAGCTGACTCTGGGCTCAAAAGAACCAGTGTGGCCGCTGGGCGCAGTGGCTCACGCTGGTAATCCCAGCACTTTGGAAAGCCAACGCTGGTGGATCACCTAAGGTAGGGAGTTGCAGACCAGTCTGACCAACATGGAGAAACCCCGTCTCTACTAAAAATACAAAATTAGCAAGGTGTGAGGGCACATGCCTGTAATCCCAGCTGCTCGGGAGGCTGAGGCAGAATAATCATTTGAACCCGGGAGGCGGAGGTGGCGGTGAGCGGAGATCAGACCATATTGCACTCCAGCTTGGGCAACAAGAGTGAAACTGCGTCTCAAAAAAAAAAAAAAAAAAAAAAACAAAAAAAAAAAAAAAAAAAAAAAAACACCAGCGTGGCACCCTGGTGAGGCCTGAGGTCTTGTGAGCTTCTCTGCGTTCCTTTGCTACAGGCAGTCCGGCCTAGTGATGAAGAGTCCCTAGAGCCAGCTGGCCTAAGTGTTTCCTTCACCTCCTTTCCAACCCACAGTGCTACCCTAGAAAAGCTACCTAAAACCCTGCCTCAATTTCCTTCTCTAAGAAATGGGCTCATAATTGCACTCACTTCATAAAGTTTTTGTAAGGGTTAAATAATTTAATACGTGTAAGACGCTTAGAACAGTGCGTGGCACACAGCAGATGCTCAATAGTGTAAACACTGGAGACAGACAGGAAAAGGAGCCTTTCATATACTTGCACCCGAGGCCTGGGAGGACTTGGTGTTACTTGCTTTGCAAAATCTTGGCTCACCACAACCTCTGCCTCCTGGGTTCAAGTGATCCTCCTGCGTCAGCCTCCCGAGTAGCTGGGATTATAGGCATGCCCCACTACACCCGGCTAATTTTGTATTTTTAGTAGAGATGGGATTTCTCCATGTTGGTCAGGCTGGTCTCGAACTCCCAACCTCAGGTGATCTGCCCACCTCAGCCTACCAAAGTGCTGGGCCCAGTATCTTTCTTAGAAATCCCTTTTAGGCCAGGTGCAGTGACTTAGAGGCCTGTAATCCCAGCACTTTGGGAGGCTGAGGCAGGCCTCCCAAAGAGGTCAGGAGATCAAGACGCTTGATCCTGGCTAAATTTTTTAAAAATACAAAAAGTTAGCCGGACATGGTGGCACATGCCACCATTACTTGGGAGGCTGAGGCAGGAGAATCTCTTGAACCTGTGAGGTAGAGGTTGCAGTGAGCCAAGATCGTGCCATTGCATTCCAGCCTGGGTGACAGAGCAAGACTCCGTCTCAAAAAGAAAAAAGAAATTCCTTTTGATCTGAATTCACCAGTGTCAAAAAATAACTCCTCAGCTGAACAAGCTGGGTCATGTCTGTAATCCTAGCATTTTGGGAGGCCAAGGCAGGAGGATTGCTTGAGGCCAGGAGTTTAAGAACAGCCCAGGCAACATAGTAAGACCCTATCTTTACAAAGGGAAAAAAAGAGTGGGCCTGGTGGTGCAAGCTTGTGGTCCCAGCTGCTCGGGAAGCTGAGGCAGGAGCCCAGGAGTTCAAGGTTGCAGTGAACCATGATTGTGCCATTGCACTCCAGCTTGGGTGACAGTGAGATTCTGTGTCAAAAATAAATAAATAAATAAATAAATAAATAGTTCCTCTAGGCAGAGGCTGGACGGGAAGCAGGGCGGAGTCATATTTGTTTTCCTGTGTCCAAATCCCTGGGGACCAGTTCACCTGTGTCCCAGAGCCTTCAGGGCATACCAGGGTATTCTGGGATCTCATTTAACCCTGGCAACTCCCCTGCTGGGGAGGGGTGAATAAACTCATTTTCAATCCTGGGAAACCAAGATGGTTAGGAAGATCCCACAGCTGTAAGGGGTGAAGAAAGACGGGAGGGTAGTTTCCTGATGACCCCTCTGAAGGTGTGCTGGGTTTGTTTGCACATACCTAACATTGTTTTGTGCTGTGTCACCCTCTGTTTTTTTATTTTTTATTTTTTTTTGTGAGACAGAGTCTCTCTTTGTCGCCCAGGCTGGAGTGCAGTGTTGCAATCTTGGCTCACTGCAACCTCTGCCTCCTGGGTTCAAGTGATTCTCCTGCCTCAGCCTCCCGAGTAGCTGAGACTACAGGTGCCCACAACCACACCTGGCTAATATTTTTGTATTTTTAGTAGAGACGAGGTTTCACAGAGTTAACCAGGATGATCTTGATCTCCTGACCTCGTGATCCGCCCACCTTAGCCTCCCAACGTGCTGGGATTACAGGTGCAAGCCACTGTGCGCGGCTGTCACCGTCTATTATAAATGCTGGGGACTCAGCAGTGACCAGACTGACCCATCCCCGCTCTCAAAATCTTATAAATCAGTGGAGAGATAGACCATTATCAGGAAAGTGAAATTGAAACCATGATTATGTAAAATAGATTGCATCATGCATTTTCTTGAATAAAACAGGAAAGATTTGTTTTCTGTCATGACTGAGGATGGCCATTTTCAGCAGGGCTTATGAGAAAGGTGATGTTTAAACTAGAAGCTGAGGGAAGAGAAGGGGTAAAGAGTACAAAGAAAAACAGCAAGTCACTTCCATTCTGTAGACAAAAAGAGTCAAGATAAGACACCTACCCAAGACAACCCAGCTGATTGTATAAGACTGATTTCTGGCGGGGTGCGATGGCTCATGCTTGTAATCCCAGCACTTTGGGAGGCTGAGACGGGCAGATCATCTGAGGTCAGGAGTTCGAGACCAGCCTAGCTAACTTGGTGAAACCCTGTTTCTACTAAAAATACAAAAATTAGCTGGGCATGGTGGCATGCACCTGTAACCCCAGCTATCGGGAGGCTGAGGCAGGAGACTCATTTGACCCCGGGAGGCAGAGGTTGCAGTGAGCTGAGATTGCAACACTGCACTCTCAACAGAGTGAGAATCCATCTCAAAAAAATAAATAAATAAAATATTCAGTAAAATTAAAAATTCTCAGTCACACCAGCCACACTAGCCATGCACGACAGGCTCAGTAACCACATGTAACAAAAGGCTACTGATCTGGTTTAAATGTGTCCCCAAATGTCATATGCTGGAAACTTAATCCAGCAGTATTGAGAGGCTGGAAACTTTAAGAGGTGATTGGATCATGAAGCCTCTGCCCTCATCAATGGACGAATCCACTCATGGATTAATGGATTTATGGGCTATCACTGGAGGAGAACTGGTGGCTTTATAACAAGAGGAAGAGAGACCCAAGCATAGCATGTTAGCATGCCCAGTCCCTTGCCATGTGATGCCCTGTGCCAACTCCAGTGTCTTGAGAGAGTCCCCACCAGGAACAAGGCACTCGCCAGATATGCCCCCTCAATCTTGGACTTCCCATCCTCCATAGTGGTAAGGAATAAATTACTTTTCTTTAAAAATTGTTCCGTTTCAGGCATTCTATTATAAGCAACAGAAAACAGACTACAACCACTCCCGCTGGGATTGGTGGCTCACGCCTGTAATCTCAGCACTTTGGGAGGCCGAGGCAGGTGGATTGCCGGAGATTGGGAGTTTGAGACCAGCCTGGCCAACATGGAGAAACTCTGTCTCTACTAAAAATACAAAATTAGCTGGGCATGGTGGTGCATGCCTATAATCCCAGCTACTTGGGAGGCTGCGGCAGGAGAAGTGCTTGAGCCTGGGAGGCAGAGGTTGCAGTGAGCTGAGATGCACCATTGCACTCCAGCCTGGGCAACAAGAGCAAAACGCTGTCTCAAAAACAAACAAACAAAAAACAACAATACAAACCACTACCATATTGAGCATTATGATCCTGGACCAAGAATTCCTAACTCATGGTCCAGGAATACAGCAGAGGTGAAGAGTCTAGGTAGGCTGGAGTTTGACTCCTAGATCTACACCATAAACACCAAATAGCCTCGAACCTCGGGGTCGGCATCTATAAAATGGAATTAATTATACCTCCCTTGCAGTGCAGTCATAGGATTAAATGCATTGGGGCTGCCTTGTGTCATAGTAAACCACATTTCCTGGGTTTAAAACCACAGCTATTTTGGGCAAGTTACTTCAGCTCTTTGTACTTCAGCTTCCTCATCTGTAAAACGGGGATAACAATAGTCCAATAATTCTCATTGGTTTGCATGAGAATTAAAGGACAATATTTGTGAAGTGCCTGGAATAAAAATGCTATATAAGTATTTGTTTAGAAGTGAGAAAAAAAATGGTGACCAACACCTCAAAATTAAATGCAAAAATGTGCTCTTTTCCGGAGAGAGAGCCAGGCTTTTATGAATTTCTTTCTCTCTAGGCTCATCATCTTTCTACTCAGTTTTCTGAGCCCAGAAGGCTGCTTTTCTCTTTGCTGTAGTTTTTTTTTTTTTTTTAAGACAGTGTCTTGCTCTGCTGCCCAGGCTAGAGAAGTGGCACTTGATCTCAGCTCACCGCAACCTTCACCTCCCAGGTTCGAGCAATTCTCCTGCCTCAGCTTCCTGAGTAGCTGGGATTACAGGTGTGCACTATCATACCCAACTAATTTTTTTGTATTTTTAGTAGAGACAGGGTTTCACCACATTGGCCAAGCCGGTCTTGAACTCTTGACAAATGATCCACCCACCTCAGCCTCCTAAAGTGCTGG